ACAGAGACCCTCCTGCCTCTGCCTCCTGAGTGCTGGGATTAAGCATTTGGTTTTTAATCAAGCTTTACCTAGCCATTACAGGTATAACTGACCTGGTTGTTCAATAACCATACTTGGAGACCTATACTAATGTGGTCATTGGGACTAAAAGGGACAATATTTTTTCTCTTCCCTCCAAGGTCAACTAAGTCCCAGGGGACTCTGAGACATCTCTTTAAGTATCTTGCTCTCTTGTTCAGGGAGGCCACAGGGATCCCAACCAGGTGAACTCTAACCAGTGTTCAGCCTACAAAGAGGAGGGTCAATACAGAGGAAAAAATTTCTTCAGTGTTTCCAAATGAAGCCAGCAAGGCCTTTGACTTATCCTCACATGCTGGAAAACTGGTAACAGGAAAACTAAAGAAGTCAAAGGCTCTTTACAAGCCCAATTAATCCTTGAGGACCATATCCTTAAATGGCCTTGAGAGTGAAAAACAAAAAAAAAGTGGTTTATTTTACATATCTGCATGGTCTTGAGCATCCAACAGGAAGTATAATCAAAGACTAAAATAATTGTTATGTTTCTTTAACAATCTAAGGAACTACATTCCTTGGACATTAGGCTTGTTCATATGAGATTAACATTTCATATCTGGACAGTTATTTCTCACTAATGATTTTCTCCTTGATAAAGAAAATGCTGCCCAAATATAAGACTTTAGACCTTGGCTCACTGTAGCACCTACTTTTAGCCTATGCCTGTCTACAACCAAGAGGGACAGGTCCACTGTTGTTTTAATTTAAAAATTAAATGATAGCTAAATTTCTTTTTTCTTTCCCTCTCTAGAAGGCATCTAGGAGGGACTTCACACTGTGATTCTAGCCACTCTAACAGCTATCAAAGCACATCTGAGGTTTATCTCTCTCAAGTCCAGCTTTGGAGGTCAAAAGAAAAGAAAAGTTAATTAGTTTTAGTTTCAATCTTTATGTAGGAGTCCAAAAGATGAATGCTTTGGAGAACTCATCAAGAGATTCTAATGGACTTTAATTTAGACATTTAAAAAAATATCCTCTGTTCTGGCTTCTGGTTCCCTGTCTAGGACTTGTAATGCTAATAATTTGCCCTTCTATCTCTTTCCAAATACCAGTCAAGGACTTTTCCTCCCTATAAATAGAGTTATATGCTTTTTAGAATCCTCTAAATAGGCCTACTGAAGGGGGCACCTTGACTGCCACACCTGATGCCCCCATTCAGCTGAAAGAAGCTAGATCAGTTATCACTCCAGTCCCATACTGGTAGTTAGGTAACGGGGGGATTGATGAGAATAGGAGATTGAAACTAGATGAGCGGTTCAGGGTAGGGACCCCAAAAACAGTTCAAAAATGTCTTTGGTTTTCTAATCAAAACTGCCCAAAGAGAGCTCTGGTTTCTTACTGCCTCCTAAATCACACCTCTGCCTATAGGCTATACATAAGGATTGAAACTAAAACTAATCCCTCTGTGAACAAAAATTTTTGGAACTGTATCTTTAGATGTTCACAGTAAGAATGGGCTACATCTATTCCCCAAATTCAGTCCTCCTAAATGATTTTAGGATTACTACTTTGGTGGGAGGGATGAGAGACTAAATCACTGACAAGCAGTGACTATTATTATTATTATTATTATTGATGAATAATAAAGATGGCTTCTTCTTGGTCTGAGATAAAGGCCTGGGAGTCTCCCTCCTCACTAGCCAGCAAGGCCCCTCTTCTGGCTGACCAGTCCAGACTAGTTTAGCCAAGGCCAGTCAGAAGTATCTCAGCTTGGAGCTGTGGCCTATCAAAGTGCCTGAAAGCCCATTCGTGTTTCATCAGTCTCAAGTCCAGTTTTGGAGGCCAAAAGAACGCAGATGAGCCTAATCGATGGGTGCTTTGGGGAGCTCATTAGGAAATCCCAATAGAATTAGAAATTAGAATTAGAGAAGGCAAGGCCTCTCTCTTCTTTAAGTTGACCAATCCAAAATTAGGGGAGGGGGACCTGTCCATATTACTAAGAATCCTTAAAAGACCAGGACCCAAGTAGGACCTCTGAATTTTTCATTTTTCAAGTCCCTTCTCCACTTGTGGAGATCTTTTCTCTCTGTGTATGTGTGCATTTCTTTATTAATAAGCTTTGTTATCTGTTGCTTTCCGCTGTGTCCGAGATTTTTCTGCCTTTTAATTTTTTCATTGGTAGAGAAAATAAACCTTATCAAGACCCCTAGACAGTAACAATATGACTTATATTCTACTCCTTTGAAACAAAGGAGCCCAAGATTCAAACAGCAGTATTCACAGTAGCTGAAGGGATGTGTGTGTCGGGGGAACCCAAGTGCCCATCAATTGGTAAGTAGAGAAACAAAATCTGCCATATATGAAACATGGGAATATTAATCAGCCATAAAAGAAATGAAGTATTAATACATACCACAACATGAACCTTGAAAATACGTGAGTGAAATAAACTGACAAAGCTCGGTATGAATTACATGATTTTACTTATATTAAATATCTAGACTGGGCAAACTACAGAGATGGAAAGTATATTCAAGCATTCCATGTTTAGGGGTGGGAGGTGGCTATTGCTTACTGGGTAGAGTTATTGTTTAAGATGTTGCAAAATTCTGCAAGTAGACAAGTGAAGGTTCTGTGATATTGTGAATTTAATTAATGTCACCATCTGTCAATCCTGTGGACTGGATTGTGACCCTACCCCCAACCTGTATGCTGAAGTCCTAACTCCCTTCTAACTGAATTTGGAGACAGTGCTTTAAGGTAAATGAAGTCATAAGTGTGAGGCCCAGTTTGAAGGATTGCTGTCTTTATGAAGGTTTGTTTGCTCCCCTAATCCATCCCTCACTGTGAGGGAAGAGAGAAAGTCGTCAATAGTGAGCCAGGAAGAGTTCTATCAAAAATCAACTCTGCCTAGACAGGGACTTTGGCCTCCAGGCTATGAGGAAACAGACTTCTGTTATTTTAGGAACCTTGTCTTGTGGCATTTGGTTGTGACAGCTGAAGGAAACTATTATAAGGCTAATATATTTACAATAGTAATCTCTCAATCAACTATTTTCTTAGAGAAAGCTACTTCTTCTAATAGTAGAACTCCTACCCATCCTTCAAAAGTGAACTTGAATACCACTTCCTCCAGGAAGTCACCCCTGATTGTTGGGCCCAAACTGATTTTTGGGTCTTCTTGTGGACACTGAGACCACTTGGTCCTGAAGCTACTTAGTTTGGCTCATAGAATGGAGTCCGTCAGATTCAGACCCCAGGTCTGCTTCATTCTGAATGTTCTTCAAGTTTCTGGCTCATTCACTTCTATCATTTCCAACTTGGACTTTTCCTCTAAACTCCAGAGGGGCAGACTTGACTCAGCTAAAAGCACATGAAGTTTAATGTGTCCAAACTGGAATGTGTTCCTTCAGACTGTGGCCAGTGATTGGTGTTTTCTAGTTCAGTGAAGAACATCTGCATTTATCAGCCTGCTTCCCGTCAGACACTGCTGGACGCTTGGGCTATATCTACCCTCGCCTACCCATCCATCCTCCCAGAGAGATCCACTTCTGTTCCTTGGAGCCATTATTCCCTTTATGTCAGTCCTGGTCCAGACTGCTCTCACTGAAACCCAGGGCCATCCCGACAGTGCCCTGACTATCTCTTTTCTTTCCACGCTTGGCTCTCTCACCCGTGTTCAGAGCTGCTGAGGTTCCACCTCCCTGCCTGAAGCTCCCATGTGGCCCTGCACTGTTGATCCTTCTGGACTTAACACTACCAGTTCAATAACTTCATCATTTACTCACACCAACTTCCACAAGTCAGACCTTCTGTCTAGAATGTTCTGGCCTCTCTTCACTTGGTTAATTACTACACATTTTTTAAAGCTTGACTCAAATGTGTCTTCAAATTAGGAGAAATGAAGCTGACCTCTTCCTACCCCTCCAATTACTGGCAGTCACTTATCCCACTGGAACAGGCACTTGGAAGTTGCTTTTGCTAAAAAGCGCTGACTCTCACTTGGGTCCACATAGTAACTTGGAGTGGGATGGAAGCCCCGCGTCTTTTCCTTCACTTTGTCTGTTATTTTTACTTTGGGACAGTCACCTGTTTAACAGACACATGATCATGCAAGGAGTCTGCCTGACCTAATCACCTGACTGGTGATGCCTCAGCAGCCTCACCTGTGAAACTGCGAAACTGAGGCATCTTTCACAGTGTCCTGTTCCAGACTCTTAAAATGACACTCCAGCAATGTCCTAAATATCAGTGACCCCGAATTCCAGGAAAGACTGTCCCAGATAATACCTCAGGCCCCAAAGAGAGCAGTTCTCCATGATGATAAAGTTGCACCCCAGAGCAGGTATAATCATCTCATTTCCCTACAGGCAATAAGACTTGTGTCTCTTGGCAATACCTGAGCACAACAATTAATAGACCAGACCTTGACCAGGACTGCTTGATTATGTACATTACCCACCTGCTCCAACTTTTTCTCCACTTAACCCTAAAGCTCACGGCAGCACCCCAGGGATGGACTCAGGCTCACTGAACCCTTCATCCATTCCTCCTTCCAGTGTGCCGCACAAGTACATCTCTCCTCCCCAGTTTTCACCATTTCTCATCTCTTTGATTGTCATATTGGATTGGTGGCAGAGCTTGGTCCCTTGGGACTCCTGGAACTGGGGCTTTTGCCCTAAAATTCTGGTGAGTAGGTTCCTGTGGCACCCCCTAGATCCTGCCAGTTAGCAATCAACAGTCACATTCACTGCACACACCCTGGTTCTACAGTGGGCCGTCTGCCTGATTTGAGTCTACCGGCACACAGATGTTTAATGCAGGCTTGCTGCATGAATAAGCAAGCAGAAGCAAGATCTCAATACTGGCCCTTTGCGGCCATTTTACTTAGGAAAGTCACTTAATATTTCTGACCCCAAGTTTCTCAAATCCTGCAGGGGAGGGAGGCTGAGGTTCAGAGCGGGACACGTAGAGGGGCGGCCCACCTTGCAAGCCCTCCAGACGGTAGGTGCGGTGCTCCACCGACAGGCCCACCGCGCTGTACGGCCCGTAACGCAAGATCACCACCGCCTTCTTGGGCATGGTGCTGCTGCCTGGTTGCAGGCTGCGGTCAAGGACACAGCAACACCTGCTGCTAGGCAACCGCCCTTCCGGCCCAGGGTGGGGTGGGCCTGGCTACGCGCTGGGCGGGGCCAGAACCTCCCTTTTCCCAAGGCCCCTGGCCGAGGAGGGAGTTCTCCCCAGCTTTTAGGAACTCTATTTCCACCTGCTGTGGTAAGGTAAATGTTAGCGGTAAATGACAATAGCTAACACTTACAGACCAGTAATAGTGTGTCAGGTCGCTGCTAAACACTTTCCAAAGTTGCCACATTTCATTAGTAACCATCCCTCTAAGGCTAGTGGGTAGTCTGCATTTTGTGTTTACTTAACTGAGACTCAGAGAGACTCAGGAAACTTGCCAAGCCGTGCCAGGAAGAACAAAAGTAGAGTGGATTGGAAACGGTGTTTGCTCTCTGGCCTGTTTTTGATTGATTATACATACATACATACATAGATACATAGATACATACATAGATACATACATACATATGTGTGTGTGTATCCACCCAAATGCTGGGATTACAGACATGTACCACCAAGCCTGGCTGATGGATTCTTAATCAGTCCATTTCCCCTTTGGAAGCTGTTTCTGAGCCTTAGTAAGGCTCAGTTAGCCTGTTTGACTCAGACAAAACCTACCTTCACCCAATTCCCATGTTTTTGCTCAGTTCTGTGGTTGGAATGAGGACCCAAAGGTGTGTCTACCACTTCTGGGCTGGCACCTCAAATGTTTCCTGTACAACCTCCTCCAACTGCCCCCCAGACACAGATGACCTGGTGGCCCAATGGATGAGGAACCCCTCCGGATCCCTGACCACAGCCCGCCTTTCTGCTTCATTCTGGGACAGAAACAAGAAGGAAAAGCTTGTTCTGCAATCAGAGACTTGGGGTGTTTTATTACAGCAATTAGCAAAATCTAACAATTATACCCTTGTGATTACAACACACATTTTTAATTTATAAAAATCAATGGTAGTTGATATTTTATCCTCCTTATGAGTAGTGCAAGGAGTTAAAAATTCTTTTCCATGAATTCTCCCAACATATGCTGTTGTTGTATATTTTAGTTGTCTCCATGTGTGCATCTGTTTTGCTATGACACTTGCTAACTCATACATATTGGTGAATAGAGGAAGGATGCCAGTAGAAGTCTGACTTTGGGGGGACACAAGTAATTTCTTCTGACGCGTTGCTTTGTACCAGTAGTGCAAACACAACTTTCACTTTAAAAGAAACAAAAGACAGTTTATTTTGAACCAAATGCCAGTGACCATGACTGGGAACATGAATTCGGGTTACTCCAAATAACATGTTCTAACATGGAAGTGATTTCATGAACTTTTATAGTCACAGAAAAAAAGGAATTCATAAATCAAGGCATTTGCCAAATACATTGGTGGTGACAGAAGGCAGATGGGTTACCTCAAAGCAGTGAAAACTGTATAGGTTTCAGAATATCTGATGATACTCTTAGCTTTTGTATTGGTGGAGCTAATGATCTGTTAACACGTTCCAAAGGTTTTTCCTGAGAGCTGAAAAGATCAGACACAGAAGTTGGCACTGAATGGTTATTAAGGAGCCTAAAGATAACCTAAGGTAATTTTGGCTCTGGATCCAAACATTCCAACTCTCTACAACCATCAAGTTCTAATCAGTCAATCAGCCTTATAGAATCTTTAATAGGGGTGTGGCCTTTTCTGGGAACTTCAATTTACAGCACTACCAAATAACAAAGTGACTCACCAGCATAGAAGAATACAGGAAACTGAAGGAAGGCAGAACTGTACATGATACCACAGTTCTTCCTTCTGGTCAGTATGGTCACATGCCTCTTGGAAGGACCTAAGGTCTGGGTTTCTCCCAGGATTCACCTGTCTTTATCCACAGCACTGGGTCTAAAGGTGTGCACCACCACCATTCCTGTCTTCTCTAGATGTACGTGATCAGAATTAGGTCCTTGGGCTTGCACAACAACCCATCTTGCTGAGCTGTCTCTCCAGTCCCCTACCCACTGGTTCTATAGTTTCAATGCGATTTGTTGAGATTCTTTTTTATTGAATTTTTGTGAATTTCATACAATATGCTTTGATCATATTTACATCCCTTCCCATCTGTACCCTTTTACTGACTCCTGCCTGATTTCATGTTCTTGCTTGATGTCTATCTATCTAATCTACATAGAGAAAGATATAGTATACATATCGACATGTATCGATATATATATTAAGGCCTATCCAGTCAAATTTATATCCCAAAATGCCCTTTGGTGTGGGTCCATCCACTGGAGCCTGTTAACCTACCCAGTATAACAGTCTTTAAGAAAAGTGACTCTCCCCCTCTCAGCAGCCATTGATTGCCAGTAGTTCCTCAGCTAGGGTGGGGGCTACTTCCCCAGTCCTATGCTGGAATTTTGTCTGGCTTGACCTTACATGGGTCTTGTTGCATGCTGTCACCATTGCTGTGAGCTCATATGAATAACTGACCAGCTGTCTGGAAAACTGCTTCCTTGTGGTCAGTTACCACTTCTGATTCTTACAGTCTTTTTACTGCCTCTTCCACAATGATCCCTGAGCCTTAGAGGCAGAAGTTTGATATAGGTGTTCTATTCAGGGATAAGCAGTCTGTAGTCTCTTATTTTCTGCAAGTTAGCTAATTGTGGGTCTCTATGTTAATCATCATCTGTTGCATGAGGAAGCTTCTCTGGTGAGAGTTGAGAGATGCATTAATCTACGGGTATAACAATAAGTCACTAGGAGTCAGTTTAATACTATGTCCATTTAGTAGAATAATAGCAATAGGTTCCCCCCTGGGGCCTGTGACCTGTCTTGTCACAGGTTCCTAGGCCTAATATCAGTGAAGGGAGGGGCTTTATCTTGTGCAGCTGACCATAAATCCCAAAATGGTTGATTAATCCCATAACATTTGTGCCTCTATTACACCAGTGGGTATTTCTTGCCAGGCCAGCTGTTGTAGCTCACAGGATGCACATCTGGTTGATGATTACTTTCCTCTTATGGTAGCATGCATAGCACCTTCCAGCATTAAGAAAGCCAACCATGGGGCTGGAGAGATGGCTCAGCAGTTAAGAGCACTGGTTGTTCTTGCAGAAGACCCAGATTAGAATCCCAGCACCCACAAGGCAGTTAACAACTGTCTGTAACGCCAGTCCCAGGGGATCCAACAGCCTCTTCTGACCTCCGCGGGTATTGCACGACATGGGTGCACTGATCTACATGCAGGCAATACACGCATACACATAAATTTTAAAAAAAAAGCAAGCCAATCAGTAGGGAAGAAGCTCTGAGATCAGTCCCAGCTTGATTTCTCCTTGTTTATTCTACAATTCATATAGTGTTTTAATAGGGCCTTACCATCCTGTTCTGGTGGGTAACCAAGAGCAGAGGCAATGGCCAGTATTGTTTGAGGGTCTGTAGGACCCCTGATAAAGCTTCAAATGGGGGAGTCCATTTTTGGTATAGGGCTTTTTATTTGCTAGCCTATGGTGTCTAGTAGGGGCAGTGTCCCCCTGTTACAGGGTAACTCCTTTTATTCTCTTTGTACTTTATATATGTATATACTTATGGAGCTTCTATAGTGGTAGGCCATATGACTTTTCCTCAAGGCCTTTAGTGTTAGTTATACCTCTCCGTACTCCCTCCTCTGCCCTACCTTCCCATTCCCCCCACCCCCATTTAACCTTTCCTACTCCGTTATTACCCTTTACACCTTTATATCGCCATCCTTCCTAGGAAGCTTCCCCCAATCCATGGCTATTTACTAGTTTACTGACCTCTACGGATTTTCCAATTGAAACACACATACCTAAGGATTCAAAGCTAGCATCCACTCTTGAGAGAGAGCATGCAATGTTTGTCTTTCTGGGTCTGTGTTACCTCACTCAGGATGATTATCTCCAGTCTCATTCATTTATTTACAAATTTCATTTTTTCCTTAAAAACTTAATAATATTCCATTTTGTGAACGTACACTTTTCATTATCCATTCATTGGTGAACGTACACTTTTCATTATCCATTCATTGGGTGATGGACATCCAGATTGTTTCCATTTCCTGACTGTTGTGAATATAGAGGCAATGAACAGGGATGAACAGATATCTCTATAGTGGGATCTATGGGATATAGAGTCCTTTGGGGGTATACCCGAGTGGTATGACTGGATCATGTGGTAGATCTATTTCCAGCCTTTTGATGAATCGCCACACTGATTTCCACAGTGGCTGCACCAGTTTGCCCTCTCAGCAGTGAACAAGAGTTCTTCTTTCCCCACATCCTTGCCAGCCTTTGTCATTGTTTTTTTTTTTTTTTTTTTTTGATCTTAGGCATTCTGACTGGGGTAAATCTTAAAGTAGTTTTAGTTTGCATTTCCCTGATGGCTAAAGATACTGAACATTAAAAATATATATATTTCTCAGGGCTGGAGAGATGGCTCAGGGGTTAAGAGAACCTGGATTTGGTTCCTGGCACCTACATGATGGCTAACAACTGTCTGTAACTTCAGTTCCAGAGAATCCAGTACCTTCTTCTGACCTCCATGGTTGCATGATATAAATGCACTTACATACATGCAGGCAATATACTCATACACATAAAACAAAAAATAATAAATAAAATATTAAAAATATTTTTCAGCCATTTACGTTCTATGTTCTGAATACTTCCTATTTAGTTCCTTGCCCCAATTTTAAATTGGGTTTAAAAATTTTTTATTTATAATAGTGTGTCTATGTCTCTGTGCAGAGGCCAAAGGTGTCAGATCCCCTGAAGCTGGAGTTACAGGTTAGTCCCCTGATGTGGGTGCTGGGAATAAAATTCAGGTCCTATGGAAGCATAACACATGCTCTTAACACCGAGCCATCTCTCAAACCTTTTTTTTCTTATAATGTTTAGGTTTTTAAATTTTATTTTTATTTTATGTGTATGAGTGTTATCCCTGCATGTATGTAAGTACACCCATGTCATG